AAAATAGGAAATTCTTTGTATGCTAACAGCCCCATAGTGTTGGGAACCGAATAGATAATCATTGAATTCTTTTCTCCTTTCCTTATGTCTGGATGATACAGAGATTATATAAAATATGGTCTTTGAGTGCAAGATAAAGTGTAAGTAAAGAACACTGTGTATGTGTTTACATATTATATGAAGTAGAAAGATTTTTATATGAGCTGTAAATAATGTTTTATTTTTTTAAATTTATTTTATTGTTTTTTTTTAAAGATTTTATTTATTTATTTGACAGAGAGCGAGACACAGCGGGAGAGGGAACACAAGCAGGGGGAGTGGGAGAGGGAGAAGCAGGCTTCCCCCGGAGCGGGGAGCCCAGATGCGGAGCTCGATCCCAGAACTCTGGGATCATGACCTGAGCCAAAGGCAGACACTTAACGACTGAGCCACCCAGGCGCCCCTAAATAATGTTTTCAACATAAGAGAAGGAAATTCTTTCTAGTTAGGGAAGTCAGGGAGAACTTCATAGAAAAGGTAGTTTTTGGGTAGACATTTAAAGATTGGGTATAATTTCAGTAGTAAGAATGGGGATCAGGCATTCTAGGCAGAATGGTGTGATCAAAGGAACTGGAACAGGAAATGTAGGGGACAGTTGGGAAATGCAGCCTGTCTACTTTCAAGAGAGGTCTTTATTAAGGAGAGAGAATAGTTATAGCCAGATTGTGAAGGGTTCTGAATTCTAAAAGTGTTTGGTTTTTTTCTAGTAAAAAGAGGAAAGGCAGAAAGGATGAGAGGACTATAGGATGGTAGAGGTGCAAGGTCATTAGAGGTGTGCTTCAGAAATATTAGTGTGATAGCATTGTATATTATGGATTGGGTTAGAGTGTAGCGTCAGATGCAAAGATTCTGGAGATAGGAAGTTAAATCAGAGATTATTATAAATGATTTGGGGAGAAATACGATCTGGCATGGTATATTGTCAGGGCACTTTGAGAATAAGGGCAGCTTTAAAGAGATTTTGGTGGTACAATCTGTAGGATTTGGTTACTGCTGCTTGTAGAGTGGGTCAGATGAATCAGGTGTTAAATCTTGGTGTCTTAGCATGAGAATCGTAACAGGTAAAGGTTTTACAAGGAGGAACAGATTTGGAGATAATTATGTGTTTGGCTTTCTGAAATGCACTTTGAGATAGTGTCAGCTTTTCCTGGCATTTATTTGGTTGAAACTATGGGAAGTGATGAAATTGCCCAAAGAATAGAGAGGGAAGGAAAGAGGGCAAAAGCCAGAATCATACAGATTACTTAGAGACTAAGAAGAGCCAGAGATGGAAACAGGAAGGAGTAGTTGGAGTAGTAGGAGACAGATCAGGAGTGCGTATTAAATTAGTCAAGAGAAGAAAGTGCCTAAGGAGAAATAAGTTATCAATATTGTTAAGTGGGCATAGATACTGAGGATGGTAGAGGTTGTAAAGATTATTGGGTTTGGTGGCTCAATAGATGACCTGTTAAATATAAGGAGTAAATTGTGAGTGATTGGCAAAGATAGCAGAATCACACTCCATTTTCTTTTTTTAAAGATTTTATTTATTTATTTGACAGAGACACAGCGAGAGAGGGAACACAAGCAGGCGGAGTGGGAGAGGGAGAAGCAGGCCTCCCGTGGAGCAGGGAACCCTATGCGGGGCTCGATCCCAGGACCCTGGGACCATGACCTGAGCCGAAGGCAGATGCTCAACGACTGAGCCACCCAGGCGCCCCAGAATCACACTCCATTAACAAATGGATCACAGTTGACTTTCTAAGGGCAGTTGCTAGTTTTGAGCCTCCTCCTTTGTTTTGTGTTGGGGCCAGAGTGGGATTTATGGGGAATGCCTTACATTCCATATTAGCCAGATTGCCTGGTTTACCACCATTACTATTTTCTTTTCTACTTTGTGGTAAAAAAGCTGGAGAAGTAGCTAGAGGACTATTGTTTCTCGGTTTCTCTCATTTCTCTTAGAGTTTTAAAATTGCATATAATAGAATTGATGATTGCTTTTGTTTTTTCTACATATGTAGGTGAGCCTGGGTTTTTAACAGTGATTATGATAAGTTGATGTTCTGAAATCCTTTGGCCTTTTGAGGAGATAAAAATGAAATAATGGATCAGATTGGTCTTTAGAGTATGTTTGATGCCTTACTCAACAAAACAGGTAACCCTATGTTGGGCTCCCAATATTACTTTTCACTTCTTATAAGCCTCTATAATCCAAAAGTCTAGGAACTATTTGACTTTTTCTCTCTGGCTCATTTTACTTAGTGTAATACCTTCCAGGTCCATCCATGTTGTTGCAAATGCCAAGATCTCATCTTTTTTTATGTCTAATATTCCATTGTGTGTGTGTGTGTGTGTGTGTGTGTGTGTGTGTGTGTGTATACACCACATCTTCTCTATTCATTCCTTTATTGATGGGCATGTGAGTTGCTTCTGTAGCTTGGCTATTGTAAATGATGCTGCAGTAAACATAGGGGTGCATATATGTTTTGAATTAGTGTTTTTGTTTTCTTTGGTAAATACCCAGTAGTGGAATTACTGGATCATATGATATTTCCACCTTTACTTTTTTGAAGAACCTTCATATTGTCTTCCACAGTTACTATATTAATTTACATTCCCACCAACAGTGGATGAGGGTTCCTTTTTCTCTGCATCTTTGCCAGCACTTGTTATCTCTTTCTTTTTTGATTTTAGCCATTTTTACAAGTGTAAGATGATATCTCATTGTGGTTTTGATTTGCATTTTCCTGATGATTAGTGATTTTGAGCATCTTCATGTATCTGTTGGTCATTTGTATGTCTTCTTTGGAAAAGCGTTTAATCAGGTCCTCTGCTTTTTAATTGGATTATTTGTGTTTTTGGTGTTGAGTTGTATCAGTTCTTTATAAATTATATATATTAACCCCTTATCAGATATATCATTTGCAAATATCTTCTCTCATTCAGCAGATTGCCTTTTTGTTTTGTTGATGGTTTTCTTCACTGTGCAAAAAGCCTTTTATTTTGATATAGTCCCAATGTATATTTTGGCTTTTGTTTCCCTTGCCTTAGGAGACATATCATATAATTTCACTTATATGTGAAATCTAAAAAACAAATGAATAAAACAAACAAAGTAGAGTCAGACCTATTACTATAGAGAACAAACTGATATTGCCAGTGGGGAGGGGGTGAGGGGATGCACGACATGGGTGAAGGGGAGTAGGGGATACAGGCTTTGAGTTATGGAATGAATAAGTCACAGGGATATAAGGTACAGCATAGGGAATATAATCAATAGTGTGTAATAGGGTTGTATGTAACAGATGTTAACTACACTTGTGGTGAGCATAGCATAACCTATAGTTGTTGACTCACTGTGTTGTACACCTGAAACTAATGTAACAGTGTGTGGCAACTATACTCAAATAAGAAAAAAAAGAAAGTAAAAGAAAAAATATAGGAACTATTTGAGATGTTTGTTAAAGGAAGGAGTGAGATGGGGAAGGAATCTGTAAAAACATGGCTTAGCATAGTTTATTTAGGGTAGATCAAACCTGTTTATAGGACAAGCAGGAGGTAAGGATAAGTAATTGGAGAAGGGATAGAATGGCTAATAATGGATGGAGAAAGATTACAGAAGAAGCCAAGCGAGGTCTGAATTGAATTGTGGAATAGGAGAATCTTAATGATATGGATTTTTCTCTAGACAGGCTGGTGCAAATGCTGTAAGGGGTACGATGGTGGGTTGGTACTTTATAATATGAATTTGTATATACCAAAAGAGGTGCTTTTGGTTGGTATTCAGAGTACCATAGTGACTGATTTATGTATGTAAACTTAGAAAGGAGTAAGGCATTATTTTGAGTTGGAATTATATAAAAATTAAAAAAATATTAAAAATTAAAAATTATAATATATTCTAACTCATTGAAAATTTATCACTTTTTTGAACATACCTCAGTGGCTTCTCTTATGAAATTATTTCAGTCTTCAGTCTGGATGCCAGTTTATCCTTTACCTTCCTAGTTAAGCTATGCTCTATTTCATACTCTTTTAAATCTAGACTGTATGGAAATAATTCAGGCTTGTATCCAGCCATGTTGGAGACCATTGGAATGTGAATAAACCTTGTTTTTGTGGGGACGCCTGGGTGGCTCAGTTGGTTAAGTGTCTGCCTTCGGGTCAGGTCATGATCCCAGGGTCCTGGGATTGAGTCCTGTGTCAGGCTCCCTGCTCAGTGGGGAGTCTGCTTTGAACCTCTGTCCCTCCCCCTTGCTTGTGCTCTTTCTCTCTCTCAAATAAATAAAATCTTAAAAAAGAACTTGTTTTTGTTTGCTGTAAATTATACAGATATATAATATTTTTTATTCTTTTGGATAATTTTTCTGTTTGTGGAGCACAGATTCTTTTTTTTTTTTAAGATTTTATTTATTTATTTGACAGACAGAGATATAGCTAGAGAGGAAACACAATCAGGGGGAGTGGGAGAGGGAGAAGCAGGCTTCCTGCTGAGCAGGGAGTCCGATCCGGGACTCAATCCCAGGACCCTGGGATCATGACCTGAGCCGAAGGCAGATGCTTAACAACTGAGCTACCCAGGCGCCCCAACAGATTCTTTTCAAGATTGATTCTGACCTGTGTAGTAGATCCCAGACTTACTCTTTTTACTTAAAAAATTTAAGTAATCTTTTATATGCTTTTAAAGTTAGACTGGGGCCTATAAAAATCAAATCTGAGTATGGCAAACATATATCTTAGGTTTTCTGGGGTGATTCAGAGCTTTAGATATTCTGTGTGATAGTCAGATAGTCATATAATTGGCTTTGAAAACAATTGCTGAACTAGGATTAGCCTCTAAAATAGCCAGTAGGTAAAATGACATAAAAAGGAGCTGTAAGTAATAACCTGATGAATTAAGTCACTGTGTTGAATTTTTTTATTGTCTACTCAAGATTTATATTAAAATTATATTTCCTGTCATTATTTCCTTTCTGATGCAGTTTTCAACTTGACCAACAATGTGGATTTGGATAACACCAAAAAGAAAATGGAGATGTATCAAAAGGAAAACAAAGATGTCATTCAGAAAAATAAGTTAAAGCTGGTTGGTTGCGAAGTATTTTCTTCTTTTGTATTAGAAATGAATGCTTCCATATGATCCCTGAAAAGCTATCTTCCTCTAAAACGAATTAAATTTACAAAGAATTTAGCTGAAATCCAGAGCAGAAATACTGTATCTGTATATAGGCACGTGGATAGGAGGCACACTGTAGCTATAACAACTTTGATAGCATTATTAAAATATGTTCTGTAAAGGAAGAATTGTGTGCATGCAGAGATTTGTCTTAACTTATACAATTTAGCTGTTATTTCTTAATACTTGCCATTCTAGTTTTGGAGGAAAGCAGAAGTACTTATTTTTGAGGTACTTTATCAGGAATTTGTGACTGTTGGTCAAAATGATACTAGTCATATCTGGATCACATAGCTTGTGTTTTCATTTTGTGTTTAGAAGGACTTTCTCCTTATAGTCTTAGGACTGTTTCATTTAGGTACTTCTTTCTTGCCATAAAGCTCTCAAGGAATTGACACTACATTCTCATTCCATTCATACCCAACCTGACTTCCTTAGAAAGGTGTTTCATTTCTGAGAGCATCAATGTGCCATAAAAATGACTCTCTTTGCCCAGTAGCCTTCTCTGGGTGCATGAGAAAATACATGCAAAATAGGTATGCCCAGGTAACTTGTTGCATTAGCCCCATTTAACTCATTAATAGAAGGATGTTCCTTTCAAGTGAATACTTTTTTTCATTCAGCATTTTAAGCTAGGAAATACAGTTGCTGTAAAAGAATAATCTAATTTCAAGCTGGTTATTTATTTTAAGGCAGAAATTTCTAATTATCTGAAAACTTTATAATGATAGGTTATTGAATAAAATATCCTTTCAATGGGAATATTTGAACTGCTTTTATTCTTTTTATTCTATTAATGTTTAATACCTAGCTATGTTTTAACTAAGTGATTTGGTCAGTAATTCATTAACATTTATTAACTAATCATTCTGTGCACAATGTTATAACTACTAGTGATACTGACCTGGGTATTTGGTATTGCATAAACATACAGACATAGGACCACATTTTTTAAGATGATGCTAGTTGACCTTTACCAGTAACTGTGGTATCATTGAGTAGAGCCCAGCTCTCTTGTGGCCAGTGAAGTATGGACTAACTTACATGGCTGATGTCTTTTTACTAACCTAAGACAGCAACTTGCTTTTCATGTCTCTGTGAATGTTGAAGTCTCACTGTTCTAAAAACATCAAAGTTGTATAAAAGAAGAAAAGAAAAAAAGTGTTCTGCATGATTATTCATCTAAAGCAACCCATTTCTGACATAGAGAAACTATTACTAAGTTGTCTGCTAAGGAGATCTTATTTGTTTCATGGAGCTGGTACCTATCATCAATTAGTGTGAGCATGGAGAAACTGAATGTGATCTAATCTTTTTTTTTAAATCATTTTTTTTTAAAGATTTTATTTATTTATTTGACAGAGAGAGAGGGAGAGCAGGAACACAAGCAGGGGGAGTGGGAGAGGGAGAAGCAGGCTTCCCGCGGAGCAGGGAGCCCGATGCGGGGCTCGATCCCAGGACCTTGGGATCATGACCTGAGCTGAAGGCAGACGCTTAACGACTGAGCCACCCAGGCGCCCCTAAATGTGATCTAATCTTGAAGTAGAGTCTTAGTGAAGATTAGCTTTAAATATTTATTCTATTGTATTCTACTTATTTATGATTTCATTGAACTACAGTTGTAACTACATTGTTAACAGTAGTTTCAGGTGTATAATATAGTGATCCAACAAGCATATACAATATGCTATTCTCATCGCAAGTGTAGCTCTTTTCTGTCACCATACAACATTATCATAATACCACTGACTATATTCTCTATGCTGTACCTTTTATCTCTTAGTTTATTCATTCCATAACTGGAAGCTTGTATCTCCTTCTCCCCTTCACCCATTTTGCCTTCCCCCCACCCCTTTCCCTACTGGCAACCACCAGTTTGTCCTCTGTATTTATTGGTCTGTTTCTGCTTTTTTTTGTTTGTTTATTCATTTGTTTTGCTTTTCAGATTTCACATATAAGTGAAATCATATGGTATTTGTCTTTCTTTGACTTCTAATTTCATTTAGCATAATACCCTCTAGGTTCATCTGTGTTGTTGCAAATGGCAAGATCTCATCCTATCTTTATGGCTGAGTAATAGCCCTGTGTGTGTGGGGGGGCAGGGTGTGTATGTACATTACATCTTTTTTATCCATTCAGTTGTCATTGGACACTTGGGTTCCTCCCATATCTTGGCTGTTCTAAATAATGCTGCAATAAATATAGGGGTGCACATATCTTTTTGAATCATTGTTTCATTTGGGTAAATATCCAGCAGTGGAATTACTGGACCATATGGTGTTTCTGTTTTTAATTTTTTGACGAACTTCCATATTGTTTTCCACAGTGGCTATACCAATTACATTTCCACCAGTAGTGCACAAGAGTTCCTTTTTCTCCACATCCTGGCCGACACTTGTTATTTAAAATTAGCTTAATTTTGGGTGCCTGGGTGGCTCAGTCGTTAAGTATCTGCCTTCGGCTCAGGTCATGATCTCAGGGTCCTGGGATCGAGTCCCACATCGGGCTCCCTGCTCCGCGGGAGGCCTGCTTCTCCCTCTCCCACTCCCCCTGCTTGTGTTCCTGCTCTCGCTATCTCTGTCTCTGTCAAATAAATAAATAAAATCTTTAAAAAAAAATAAAATAAAATTAGCTTAATTTTTATTTTCAATTTTCTGGATTCTCATGAGCAGCAGAGATTGCTGTGTAGAATGGCTATCAGTTTAGCAAAATAAAGAAATCAGTTCATAACATTTGTTGAACATGTGCTAAGCATATTGTACAGAAAGATGAATAAGAAGCCAGGTAATTTCAATACAGTGTCATAAGCATGTGGAAAGTGCTGTGTGCTTGGTATTATAGGAGTGTAGAGGAGGGATACCTAATCCATTCTGATAATATTGGGAAAGGCATTCCAGGTGAGATAATGCCTGAATGGGAGCTTTAAAGGACAAGTAGAGTTTAAGGTGAAGAAGATGGGACAAGGGTGGAAATAGGGACACTGAACAAGGACATTCCAGGCAGAAAGAAATCATAAGCAAAGGCAAGAAGTTCTGAGAGGTTTTAGTAGTTTTATATTGCCAAAGTTCAATAGAGAGAGAGAGTTGAAGTTGAAGAAGTAGAAAGGGCATAGGTCACATAAGGAAATTTATTATGAAAAGTAATTTGGGCTTAAATAGACCAGCTGTGTGTGTGTGTGTGTGTGTTTAGAGGGAGAGAGAGAAAGTGGCAGGAGGGGCAGAGGGAGAGAATCCTAAGCAGGCTCCACGCCCAGTGCATAGCCTGACCGTGGGACTTGATCCCACAAGTCTGAGATCATGACTGAAATCAAGAGTTAGACACTTAACTGAATGAGTCACCTAGGTGTCCCAGTTGTTTTTATGTTTTAATAGGTGAACCTTTTCTTTAAATGAAAGCTTGCTTGGAATACTTTTGTTGTTAAAGTGATAATGGGAAGAGGGATAGGCTGAATTTCCATTTGTTCAATCTCTTCTATAGTGTACCTTAGGCATCTTATTAGGGAGTTCCAAGATTCCTTGGGAGTGATGTTTTAAAAACGTGGCTGTGGATGATTGTCATTGAGGGGTTTTAAACCAAGTGGTAATAAGGTATTGTCTGTTTTAGAATAAATGTAGTGGTTTGGTGGAGGTTGAATTTGAGAGAATCAAGCTTGGAGTTTGGGAAACCAATGGGAAGTTATTGCCGTTATGTTGGTGAATTTAGAGGTGACTTAAACAAGAAGTGGAGAGGTGGGGATGAATTGGAGAGATAGTTTGAGTATAAAATAGCAAGTTCTAGGGGCGCCTGGGTGGCTCAGTTGGTTAAACCGCTGCCTTCAGCTCAGGCCATGATCCTAGGGTCCTGGGATCGAGCCCCACGTCGGGCTCCCTGCTCATGCAGGAAGCCTGCTTCTCCCTCTGCCTGCCGCTCCCCCTGCTTGTGCTCTCTCCCTCTCTCTCTCTCTCTCTCTCTCTCGCTCTCTTTGTGTGTCAAATAAATAAATAAAATCTTAAAAAAAATAGCAAGTTCTACTGATGGATTAGGAGTGGGAGGTGAAGGCAAGGGAGGTTGATTGGGTAAGGTAGTATTAGGAAGAACACAGAGACCTTTAGTTTTCAACCTGCTTCCCTTCTCTCAGTCCAATACCTTCTTCATTGTCCCCAGTGTTTGCTTTTTAATGATGGCTGTTTTTCCATTTATTCAGTCAGCTAGCTAGCTAATCAGTATTTATTGAGGCCTACTATGTCCAAGATACTCACATATTCTATTTCAGTGAGAAAATTGAGGCTACCAGTTTCTTATTGTTAAAAATGATGGACTGTTAGGTCTGAATCTCATTTGGCCTGTTGGCAGTGTTTGGTGTAGCCTCCTCCCTTGATACTGAAACCCTGTTCTTTAATTTCTGTGGGGCCACTCCATTCCTCATCGTGTTGCTCTCACCTTCCCCTTTCGTCTTCTTAAGAGGCTGAGCTTTCCTTCCTGACTCTTAAAACATGGTTCCTTTCAGTGCTTCTCTTTATGAGTTACCCCTTTATACTAATTACTCTCAAATGTTTCTGTAGCACATTGCTTTTTCTCCTGAGCTCCTAGAATTATACTATGTAATATATACATATATCTATAAGTAGTTAATAGATATTTATTTCTTGATGTATTATAGACACTTTTAATTCAGCATTCCAAAGCTGAATTTTTAAATCTTTACCACTTGTTTCTACTATTATGTTCTTTATCCAAGTATTCAGGCCATATCTGGTCTGTCTGACTATACTGTTGATAGTCTCTGCTCATCATTTTTCAAATCTGGTTCCCCCTCCATTTCTATTATTATTATTACCTTATTTAGGGCTCTCATCATTTCTTACCTGGTTTTCCTGTCTTCAGTGATGGCCCGATTGATCTGTATACTTTACTGCTTCTAGTTGTCTTTCTAAAGTTATCCCTCAAATTTCCCTAATGTCTTCCTGATTGTCTTAGTATGGCTCACATTGCCTTAGTGTGGTATGAGGACCCTCCATGATCTGCCCTCTGCTTGCCTTTTCAGTTTTATCTAGAACTTTTCCCCACTCCCATACTTCATGATTTGGCCATACCATGCATTCCAGCTTTATTCATGTCTTTGCATCTTTGTTTTGTCTGCCTGAATAGCTGTTCTACTCTCCAATGGAGGCAAATACCTACAGTTTGAGGTCTTAGCTCAACCTCTTAGGTTTCCTAGGGCTGCTGTAACAAATTACTAAAAACTGGGTGACTTATAACAGGAATTTATTACAGTTCTAGAGTCTAGAATTCTGAAATTAAGGTGTCATCAAGGTCATGCTTTCTGTAAGTGCTCTAGGGAAGAATCATTCCTTGTCTCTTCTAGTGTCTGGTGGTTGTCAGCAACCTTCAGTGTTACTCTGATCTGTACCTTTGTCTTCACATGGCCGCCTCCTCTGTGTCTACATTTCTAGTATGACTCCATCTTAACTTGATTACATCTGCAAAGACCCTGTTTCCAAATAAGGTCACATTTACAGGTACCAGGGGTTAATTAAGACTTTCAGCATATATTTTGGGGGGATACGTTTAACCCACAACACTCTATATGAAATCTTTTCTTTCTTTGTGTGTCTTTTATCACTGCAAGGAGAGTTTACCACTCTATCAATTCTGTTTTCACTGTACCCTCTTTAACACTTGTTACACTTAATTGGTTACATGTCACTGTTTTACTGTAAGGCTCATCTTTTTCTGCTTATATGCCTCTAATCAAGTAGTTTACTTTTCCAGCTTTCATATCTCAGCCCTTAACTTTTTACATTTATTCCTACTAATTCTTCTAGCTCAAGTTTGAATTCTCTTCTCTACTGGGGGCCTGAGTTAGAGTAGCAACCTTGCCAAAAGAGAAGGAAGAGTTTGTAAAATTATAGGGAGAGATGCTAATAGGATGTAGCAACTGATTTAAGGGGAACCAGGGCGGGGGGCAGAGAGGGAGTAAACAGGGATGAATTTATGTTTTTAAATGGAGTTGACTGAGATGTAGGTGTGCACTTCGTGGACGTTAGGAATATAAGAGTATGATCAGCTTTGGGAGACCAGATGCTAAACTTAATTTTGGGTCTAGTAGTGAGTTTGAATTGTAGGTGAAACATCTTTTTGTTTGAGAACTTTGTTTATCTAATGTGTGAATTAAAAAAAGTCTAATAGAGGGTTTTCAATATTATTTATGTAAAATATATATTTTTCTCTGAGGTCTTTGTTATTCATATATTATATTCGTGATGCTCAAACCTATTATGCTCTCTTCCTCTATTCTGTATTTGGTTGAAGTGCCATAATTTCTCAGTGTTCTGTCAAATTAAAAAAAAGCTTTAAAATAAAACCATTTAGATTTTACTGTATTTTTCATTCATAAGAAAGAACAAAGACTAGGTATACGATTGCTTTGAAGTATGACTTAGAATTGTAATAAATTTCAGAGCCTGGAATTATATCTGAGGAATTCCATTAAAGGAGAATGAGTAGAACTATGGTTCATTCAGTTTACATATTAGCTTTGAATTTTGAATTTTTCAGTGCACAAATTTATATGCTTATGTTAAAAAATAACTTCAGTTTTTTACAGCTTCCCTTAAATGAATGCTATTTGGAACTCTAGCATTATGAAGACTTATTTCAGCTTGGGAAAAAGTTCAGTACAGTGATAACTTTTCATTATCTAGAATGTTCTGGAAATTGTTTCTATTAAATAAGCCAGTCTTTTCAATGGAGTCTTTCAGTTAGTAGCTCTGTATATGGACTCTTTGTTGTTTTTGTTGGGTTTTTGGTTTTGAATGACTTGAAACTCTCTGTCATAATTATAAATAAATAAATCCATTATTAATCACATTTCCTGCAGATGGGCACAGTGTACTTGTTTAGGTGTTTGTGTAATGCTAGGTGTCATTCTCTTTGATAGTACCATGTCCACATGAAATTAAATGAACTCTCGTTCCCTCAGAGTAGAAATGCTGCTCTATTAAACCATGACTAGTGTGTTTCATGCTTCCAAAAAAGAAAGTGTTAGAGTGTGGTTAGGATTGATTTTGGTTACTAAATTTATTCTATGCTGTATATAAATATTTCTGTTTTAGACTCGGGAACAGGAGGAATTGGAAGAGGCTTTAGAGGTAGAAAGACAGGAAAATGAACAAAGAAGACTGTTTATACAAAAAGAAGAACAACGGCAGCAGATTCTAAAAAGGAAGAATAAGCAGGCTTTTTTAGATGAACTGGTATGTATTAATGCTAAGTGCATTCAGAGTTTATCTTTCCTATTTATTATGCTGGATAATGGCATTTAAATGGCATTTCTACTGGTATATTCAATGTTGGTGTAGTCAACTTCTGTTCCTTCATTAAAAAAAACATTTTGTCAATATCTGTTTTATTTTCAGATGAAAGAGCAATATAACTGATGCGAGACAGTGTACTATTTATAGGTTATTTATGTGTTTTTAAACTTACTAAAACTCATTGTTTTCAGAGCAGTTTTCTCCTGATTAATACTTGCTTTCTTATAACTAGCTCATTTTCAAGTGTTTGGGCTTCATGGTGAAATTTATAGTGATTCTCGTTACTCTGTGAGAACTGTGTTTCATATTTTTGCATGAGAAAATGCAAATGCCATTTCCAAAGAAATGGCAGTGTTTTGTGAGTTATTTGTGTTTCCCAGTAGTTAGCTTCCCAAGTATTCACCATTGTTAGATAACAGCAGTAATAATAACTAAGGTTTATGAAGTGTTTCATAGATTTGACAATATATTATTTGATGCTTATAAGCTGGGGCCATACTGATAAAATCACAGTAGAAATGGTCCTCTCCAGAAAGTCTGTTTGCATTCTTCTCTTTCCTTTTCTGTCCACGTAATTAATTTCTTTTTTTTGAACTTTTTTTTATTATGTTATGTTAGTCACCATACATTACATCATTAGTTTTTGATGTAGTGTTCCATGATTCATTGTTTTTTTTTCTATTTCATGTCTTTTAAAAAAATTTTTTTATTGTTATGTTAATCACCATACATTACATCATTAGTTTTTAATGTAGTGTTTCATGATTCATTGTTTGTGCATAATACCCAGTGCTCCACGCAGAACGTGCCCTCTTTAATACCCATCACCAGGCTAACCCATCCCCCCACCCCCCTCCCCTCTAATTAATTTCTATGTGGTGTTCACATACTTTAATTCTTTGGTCTAGTTGATATGGTGTTTGTTACTCTATGATTGGGTAAATGTGTATGTATATATTTTTCTACTGTTCTTTTGGCCAAAAGTTAGCTACCTAGGAATAAAAAGAGAAAGCAAGATAATTAAATTAGAAGTAGGCGAGATAGTAAAGGAAAGGTAAGAGTAAGGGCATTAATGAGGCTTAGATAGAAAATGCTTATCATAAACCCTATCTACTTTGTATAAGTGGAATATGAATTGGTTTCTAAAAATGAAGACAGTAGCATATAAAAAGATTTTCCTTAGCAATTTCCATTAATTTTTCTTGAAACTATTAAGTGTCAGTTGTGGCTTTTAACAGCTGAAATGACACATGTGTTTCACATTTTTTGTTAACATTATCTTGTGAGAAATTGAAAACTTTAAAGAATGAATTAGTAAATACTGATGTTAAAATTATGTTTTTTAATTTTATTTTATTATGTTAATCACCATACATTACATCATTAGTTTTTGGTGTAGTGTTAAAATTATTCTATTGAAAGGTTCTTTCCCCCATCATTTTATACAAAGAAGAACACACTTTCCTTTGTAACCCTTCTCCTTTGTTCAATTAATTGAATTAATTCAAAATATAGTACTTAGATATGAAATGAAAATACAGTTTAACATTTAAAAATATTGCATCTAAATAGTTTTTAGATTTAATTTTGAGGTTAGCTAGCTTTGCAAAGCAATTACAAATTATTATCAAAGTAATAAGTAATAAGTTTTGCTGCCTCATTGAGCTGCTATTGGCATGAAGCTCCCCTTTAATTCAGTGGGGCATGAAGCAAGATGTGAAACTGCCAATGTTGTACATTGTGTATAATCTGGAGTTAATATTGGTTTTTGTGAGACCCGCCCCCCCCACAACTTCCTGTTTTCTTCACCTGCAAGTCATTACTGCACATACTTTCTTCACCATTTAGATCATGTAACATGGTGGTTAAATAATCCTTAGCAATTTACTGTATTCATTAGAACAATGAATTACAATAGATTGTTTTAGAATATCAGTACGTTTTGAATTTCTGGTTTCCTAATTTTATTTTTAAAAATTCTGTTACTTTAATTTTTTAATAATCATTAAATTTTTTTGTTAAAATGTGACCATATGTTTTAGTTCTTATTGACTAATTGAAAGTATTTATTAAATTTCTTTTTATCTTCCTGAATCCCTAATAAGTAAAAAAACACATTCTATTTCTTTTTCTATGTTTGTTCATGTATTAGATTCTATAAAATAGATAATATTGGCATTTGTAAATATGTCTAGAAGCTTAAATCTTAGAATTATTCTCTGGATCTAATTTAGGCAACAAGTACTACTTATTAGAATTTTTTTCTCCTGTGTTTGGGTTTGGTTTTTGTGCTAATGGTCACTTTTTAATCTTTAAAAAGCATTACGTTATACTGTATGTGACAGGATTTTAATGTTATGGTCTTAATGTTTATGGCTTAGCATTTACCATAATGTTGCCTAAAAAGTCCGTTTATTTAATCCTAACTGTAAATTCAATTTTTTTAACAGTTTGGGAAAAGATTTTTAAACAGGTCCTGACTTATTAAATCTTTTTATATTCCTATTTGAAAATTCTCTTCAGTTATGTCTTAAATTTTGTTAAGGGCTAATATTGTTGTCAAATGTAGTAGCTGATTTTTATTAGAAATATTGTTTGCCAGATGGCTTGCTTAAAGTCAGTTAAAGTAATCTTTAAAAAATGGTCATTATAAAGCTTTTAATGAGTATTACAGGCAGTCTTATTAAAATTTCTTTAAATATTAAACAGTATACCTTCAGGCAATTAATGTAGTTTAGAGAACCTTTCAAGATAGACTGGAAAGCTAAGAAAAATTAAATAACTTGCAAAGCTGAATTTGCATTTTATGTATTCCTGAGAGCATGTATGTTCCCATAGTTTATTTATTTTTTTAAAAGATTTTATTTATTTATTCATGAGAGACAGAGGGAGAGAGAGGGAGAGAGAGAGAGAGAAGCAGAGGGAGAAGCAGGCTCCCAAGGAGCAGGGAGCCCGATGTGGGACTCGATCCCAGGACCCTGGGATCATGACCTGAGCCGAAGGTAGACGCTTAACCATCTGAGCCACCCAGGCGCCCCCCCATAGTTTATTTTACTCTGTAGATTTTTGTTGTTGTTGTTAGAGTTCCTGCTTCATTCTAATTTAACATTCACAAAGATTTTCAGGCTTCAGAGTTTTGAATGCTAAAATGGAATAAAGCAGATTGAAGTAAATTGTATGGCTTAATGTCAAAATTAGTTTTAGACTCCTAGAATGTTTATTTTTTTATTGAATTTCAGCTGTAGTACCAAGACATTTTAATATTCAGGTCCTTTTATGTGAAAGCAAAACCAGGATTAAAACGGGCCGAAGTATTGATTAGCAACCTTTTTGAAGTGAACACATTGTCTTGCTTTTACACAAGGACGTTCACTTATTAGAGTAAATACCAGCTATGGAAGAGCATTTGAATTCACTTAGAGTATAAGTTGAGAAGGAATGCCAAAGAAATTTATTTTTCTTATGTTAGTTTTTACATATGAAAAGATAGTAATGGGTTTCAAAAGTTGTTTTGGGCCACAGCCCATTTAAAATCTCTATTAATTTTACATTTTATATAAATTTTTTTTTACATTTTATTTAAAGTTCTTTTTTTAAAAAAATATTTGAGAAGGTGAGTGAGCAGGGGTGGGGAGTGGGGGTGGGGGGAAGCAGAGGTAAAGGGACGAGCAGACTCCTCACTGAGCACGGAGCCTGATGTGGGGCTCAGTCTCATGATCCTGAGATTCTGACCAGGGCTGAAATCAGGAGTTGGACACCCGACCAACTGAGCCACCCAGGCAACCCCCTTTTTTTTTTTTTTTTATAAAATTCTTAATGGAAATCTAGAATAGCTGCAGAAATTCACAGTAATACTGTTACTAATACAGAACTAATGCTTTATTGTAGAATATGATAGGTATTCAAGTATATTCTCATAGTATATTTCATTCATTCTCCTTTATTATTGCTAAAGGTCCCAAGGCTCTATCTTATAAATCAAACTTGTGTTCTTTCATTTAAAAAAATTTAATCTTTGTAAATTGCTCTTGCAAAGCACTTCTGTTACCAAATCTTTAGGTACAAATTTATTCTAGGACAATTCTGTTGAAATAAATTGCTTGTTATTTGAATTTCTTCTGTACTGTAGCCTTAAAACAATTCCTTTAAGTATGTTAATTGAACTACATTTGTGCCTTAAAAATATTCTTAAGTTGTTGATTTGGAAAGAAAATTAGATTCTGCTATATTTTTACTTTCATACTATGAAATGTTTAACAATATAGTTTTTTTAAGGATTAAATTCTAGGTAGTTATTATTTTAAAAATCTGTAGGCCATTTGAAGAATATGTGTGTTTTTGTAGGTAGCCTTGGTATAGGAGATAGAAATGTGTTTGTAACCTTCATTTTTGTTTACACATATAAAGTACTGTGTTTGTATATATGATCTCCTTCCTTCTTGGCTTCCTTCTGCATGTGTTTTTGTGTTCTTATTTAACTGAAAACTCAGAAAGGAAGAGGTCTGGATACATTTAGTTTAGACCTTAGTTCCACAGCACTTTAAACATATAAGAGAACTTCATGTTAAACAGGATAAATAAGCCTACATATAAGAATTAGTAATTTTCTTGTTATTAATATGTATGTGTACAGATTTGTGTAAATAGTAGCCCTGGTTTAGTATCAGTATAAGATATTAGAAATATTTACTATCATTGCATTAATTAAGAAAATCTAGACTTAATTTCTAAAAATAAGTCCATAAAGGAGAATAAATATATTTTTGGTTGTACTCAACAATTGTTCCATTGTGCAAAACAGAACAAGGATCATTTCCAAACGGCCTCAGGTGAAATCTAATGGGAAACAATTGCAGACTGGTCTGAATTCACTGGTAGAAGAATGTGTCTTAGATAAACATCTGATCTAAGTTATAGTACTTTGTATTACTCTTTTTGTGATTAGCTTTTAATTTTTTTTAGTTTAATAAATATGGTTGGCTTTGTTAGATGAAATAAGACTCTATTTATATTGTCTTTAATGTGGATTTTATAAAAATACTTTTTTTGCAGGTTATTTTGATTTATGAATCTCAAACAGCCTTTTCTTATTATGGAATGTTAAATTTTTTTGTGAAGTGTTCTCCATAAAGTGAATATTTAGGTTGACATCAAATGCTTATGAAAAGGCATAATTTAAAATAAAAGACTTGTTGCTCATTAGTTTTTCCTTTTTAACTTTCATATTGCACTTTTACTTTTCTTACAGGAGAGTTCTGATCTCCCTGTTGCTCTCCTTTTGGCTCAGCATAAAGATCGATCTACCCAGTTGGAAATGCAACTTGAGAAACCTAAACCTATAAAACCAGTGACATTCTCCACAGGCATCAAAATGGTAAGCTGTATTTTAATGGCATGTTTGAAGAATGTATTTCAAGGATTGCACTTTATAACTTTATATTGATTTCTACAGTTAAATTGGAAGGTTCACATGTTTTAAGAACAGTGTCTGATCTACGCTAGACCTATAGAAAAATGAATACATGCAGTGAAAGGGGAAAGTGAAAAGTAATAAATAATTTTCAAAGTACACAACACAATTTTGTTGTATGTGAAATTGGGTTTGTATGTTTTTTTCTTATTCTACATAAATTTTTAAGCTTGTAGAAGAACATTCTTAAAGAAAATGCAGGCTTCTGGTTTCTTTTTTGGCTTGTAAGAAGCTTGGATATTGTCATCCCATTCTAACAACAAATAAAAAGCTGAGCATACTGAAAAATCCAACAACTTTTCTTAGATCCATGAATGAAGAGAGGTCATAAGGCAAACCACTGCCCTCAAAATTGTAGAGATCGGTAGAGAATACAGGGAATCACAACTTAACTAGAATAGCAACCTCGCCAGGAACTAGTGCTGGTATAGGTAAATCTGATTGTAATTGACAAATTGCTGGAGGCTCAGTGTGGACAACTCTGAGAGTTCAGAACTCTGTGGGGGAACCAGTTATTGAGGGCCCCTGCACTTTTGTGAGTTTTACCTCTTGCATCTCTATCACGTTCTCTCAGTGAATATTAGAGAAAAATCCCCTCTTGCTTTTAGCAGAGAAAAGGGAAAAGGAACAATTTTGAAATATACCAGATCATTTTGTTCTTCTTAATAAGGCCTATCCTCAGGATAAACTATTTCATCAGAGTCTAACCTACTGGAGTTTATGAGAACCTACCTGATGTAGGGGGAAGGGAAATACCCAATTCCAGCTGTTCAAGCCTTCTGTATGGGAGAAGGGAAACAACATAACTTCAGCATACTCTAACCATTCTGCCCTGCCTGAGGGGAGGTGGGATGAATTGAGAAGCTCTTATGAAGTTCACAGTCTAGAAGCACAGGCTTTCTAAAGGACTGAGACCTGATCATAGAACTATAAAATGCTCTGCCATCCCCCATACCTCACCACCACATTGCTAAAGGTCTATTTATAGCAGTGCCTTTCCCCCAGTCTATTATGCCTTAGTTGTCAAGAAAAAAATAATAAAACATACTAAAAGTCAGAAAACAAAGTTGGAAGAGATAGACCAAGCATCAGAACCACGCTTAGATATGGCAGGGGTGTTGGAATGATCAGGCTGGGAATATAAAACAATTGTGATTAATATGCTAAGGGTGCTAATGGATAATGTAGATGACATGTAAGAAAAGTGGGCAATGGTAAGGAGAAGGATGGAAATTCTGAGAAAGAACCAAAAAGAGATGCTAGAGAAAAGAACACTAACAGAAATGAGGAATGGCTTTGATGGGCTCATTAGTAGACTAGACACCCTGATGAAAAAATCTTTGAGCAAGAGGATATATCAGTACACTCCTTGAAAACTGAAAACCAAAGAGAAAAAGACCGGGGGTGGGGTGGGTGGGAAACAGAACAGAATATCCAGGGTCTGTGGGGTGACTATAAAAGGTATAACACATGCATAATGGGAATGCTAGGAGAGTGAGAGAAAGGCACAGAATATTTGAAACAGTAACAGAATTTCCCCCAAATTAATGTCAGATACCAAACCAAAGATCCAGAAAGCTCAGAGAACACTAAGTAGAATAAGTGCCAAAAGAACTACACCTAGGTATATCATTTTCAAATATCAGAAAATGGAAGATAAAAATTCCTGAAGCAGCCAGAGGGGGAAAAATACCTTGCCTATAGAAGAGCAAAGATAAGAATTATATCTGGCTTCTCCTCAGAAACCACAAGAAGAGAGTGGAGTGAAATATTTAAGGTGATGAGAGAAAAAAATCACCAACCTAGAATAATGTACCATGAAAAATTATCTTTTAAAAGTGAAGGAGAAATTGGGATCCCTGGGTGGCTCAGTTGGTAAAGCGGCCTAATGTTGATTTTGGCTTGGGTCATGATCTCAGGGTCCTGGGATTGAGCCCCACATTGGGCTCCAAGCTCACGGGGGAGTCTCCTCTGCTCAAGGATTCTCTGTCTCCTTCTGCCCCTCTCTCACCTTGTGCATGCATGCTCTCTCTCTCTTTTTCTAAAATTAAAAAGTGAAGGAGAAATAAAGACTATCAGACAAACTAGTTTTTTGCCAGTAGACCTTCATTGCAAGAAATGTTAAAAGAAGTTCTTTTAGAGCTAAGGAAATGATATAGGCAGAAACTCAGATCTAAATAAAAGAAGAGCATCAGAGAAGAAAAGAGTGAAGGTAAAATAAAAACTTACTTTTTTATTCTTAATCTAACAGGTAACAGTTTGTTTAATAACAATACTGTATTTGAATATGTTTGCTTATGTGTATGTGTATACACACACACTCACTTATATATAAGTAAAGTGAATGACAGTGATGATGTAAGATATAGGAGGAAGCAGAGCTGTCATATTATTATGAGGTACTCACACTACCAATGTTTTTCTCCCCAACTGCCCATTCAGCTACTGTTTTTTTTTTTTAAAGATTTTATTTATTTTTGCAGGAGAAAGAGAAAGGGAGGGAGAGAGAGAGAGAGAGAGAGAGAGAGAGAGAGAAAGTGCACACAGGCACACAAGAGGGGGAAGGGGCAGAGGGAGAAGCAGACTCGATCCCAGGACCCTGGGATCGTGACCTGAGCCGAAAGCAGACACTTAACCGGCTGAGCCACCCAGGTGCCCAGCTACTGTTTTTTGATTTTTAAAATTGCCTACCTTGTTAGTCATACGTGCGCCGCCTGTTAGATTATAACATCTTGAGGGCAGAGGCTGCATATTTTAACTTCGTTTTATATGATTATGAATATATGGGTACCTGAATAATATAAAATATTCCCAATCAATTTTAAATTCACAAATTTAGGAAGTATTAACACATTTTCATATAATGTAAAGAAAAAACTTTTAAAAGATAATTTTTCATGGTACATTATTCTAGGTTGGTGAATTTTTCTTTACATTATTCATATAATGTAAAGAAAAAATTATTCGTTAAGGAATTCTCTTTTGAATTAAGAGACAGTATAGAGAAAAGAAAATAGGCATGGAAAGACTCAGGTACAAGGGGATTAAACTTCAGCTTCACCACTTACTAGATGTCTATGCATGGGTAAGATACTTCTTTATTCTTTCCGGGTTTGTTTCCTCATTGGTAAAGTTGAGATAATTTTCACTTTATATGATTGTTTGGAGGATTAAATATATATATAATGTTAACCACGTTCATCTTTAATGTTATCAGTAATTTTTTTTTTAAGAGAGGGAGGGGGAGGAGCAGAGGGAGGTAAAGAATCTTAAGCAGGCTCCATGCCCAGTGCAGAGTCTGATGCTGAGCTTGATCTCATGACTCTGAGATCATGACTTGAGCCAAAACCAAGAGTCAGCTGCTTAACCAACTGCACCGCCCAGGTGCCCCATCAGTAATGTTTATTGTTATTATTATAGTTAAATATCTAAGTGAATTACATAATGATTTTTTTACATTGTGTAATTAGATAATAAAATATTTCTAAGATTCTTGAATTTGAGGGAATTTTATGATAAATTTGTCATTTTGATACTTCTCTAAATCTGTGGTAGTGCTGTGACCATAGTGTTTTAAAGTTTTTTAAAATTTATTTTTTAATTCATATATAGTAAAGATCATTCTTTGTGGTATACAGGGTCTTGACAAATGCATAGTTGTATATCTACCACCATAGTCATAATATAGAGCAGTTCTATCCCTCCTCAAAATTCCTTTGTTCTACCATTTCATAGCCTGTACCTCCAACCCCCCTAAGCAACTAGTGGTTTGTTCTGTGTCTCTATTGTTTTGGGTTTTCTAGAATGTCATATAAAAGGAATCATACATACAGGCCTTTTAAGTCAAGGTTTGCTCACTTAGCAAGATGTATTTGAGGTCATGCATGTTGTTGTTGTTCCTTTTTGTTGAGTAATATTACCATTTTCAGTTATCACAAAGTGAACATCTGTGTTACCATCACAGAGGTAAAAGAAAAAAAAATAATTGTCAGTGCTCTAGAAGCCTGCCTTATGACCCCTTAGACTTGGTCAGTTCCCCATTCTTTTTCCTCAAAGTAGTCACTTTTCTTCTTTTTTAAAAATTTAATTAATTAATTAATTAATTAATTAGAGAGAGAGAGAGCACAAATGGGGGGAAGGACAGAGAGAGGGAGAAGTAGACTCCAAACTGAGCAGACTCCTCACTGATGCCGGACTTGATCCCAGGACCCTGGGACCATGACCTGAGCCGAAGGCAGACGCTTAACTGACTGAGTCACCCACGCATCCCAAAGTTGTCATTCTTCTTTTATGGCAGTCCCTTTCTTGTTCTTATAAATAACTTTAACATCTAAGCATATATGTCTTAACATGATTAATGTTGGGCCTGTTCATATTTGTGAGATTCATCCATGTTTTTTGCATATAGCGCTTTTTTTTTTCTTTTTCATTGTTGGATAATGTTCCATTGAAGGAACATACTACGATTTATCCATTCTACTGTTGCTGGATGATTGGATCCCTTTGAGTTTTGGGTATTATGAATTATGCTAACGTGTTAATATATGTTTCTTGGCGCACATGTACACATATTGTTTTGGTGGCTATTTACCTAAGAATAGAATTATCAGATCATAGCGAATATGTTTGTTCATTTTAGGCAATATTGCCAAATCATTTTACAAAGTGATTTTTGCCAATTGTACTTCTACCAGCAGTGTTCTTGTTATTCCACATTTTTGTCAACATTTGTGATTTTCTGTCTTTTCCGATTTTACCATTCTGGTAGGCATTTAGTAGTGTTTTGTGATTCTAATCTGCATTTTATTTTGCTGATCACTAATGACATTGAGCATTGGCTATCCTATTTTCTGAAGTGCCTGCTCAAAACTTGCTAATGTGTAGGCGTTTTTTATATGTTCTGG